CGTCAAAGGCAGACTGCGACATGCTACTATACCATATTCAGCCAAGCATCCTATTATCATTGACGGAAATTCGCCACTTGCTGAACTTATTGTCAGACAAATGCATCTACATACTAAACATGGATCAGTGAACCAAGTTCTAAATGAACTYCGCCAAACATACTGGATTCTTAAAGCCAAGCAAGTAGTAAAGAAATATACCTGGAACTGTTGGTTTTGCAAAAAGGAACGTGCCAAACCCTCACAAAGTTTAATGGCAGATCTTCCAAACGTACGAGTCACGCCAAACAACACCCCCTTTACTTCTGTGATGTGTGATTACTTTGGACCAATCACAGTGAAAGATAAAGTTACAACTAGAAGGTCCATTCCACAAAAAAGGTGGGGTTGCATATTTACCTGCCTAGCTACACGTGCTGTTCATCTGGAACTAGCAACTGACTTATCAACCAAYGCCTTCATCAACTGTTTAATCAGATTCACCAGTAGACGTGGAACATGCAAAGACATCTACTCAGACAGAGGAACAAATTTCATTGGTGCTGATGCTGAGATACAAAAGAACCTTGACATTGACCAAATAACAAATAGTATGCACAACCGAGGAATCAACTGGCACTTTGGATCTCCATTATCACCACACAAGACTGGAGCTGTAGAGAGAATGGTAAGAAGCGTTAAACGAGGCCTGAGAAGTCTCCAAGAAAGTACCTATAAGTCAGATGTATTACATACAGCCCTTGTAGACATCGAAGGTGCATTAAACAGCCGCCCCCTCACTGAACTACCAGTAACTGAAGAAAATCCAAATGAATTRAGAGCAATAACACCAAATGATCTACTATTGCTAAAACCAGACGTGGGTATGCCAYTGAAAGTCAATGAAAAGGATGGTAATTCGAGAAAGCTATACAAACAAGCCCTAGCTATAGGAAAAACCTTTTGGTCAAGATGGCTTAAGGAGTATATACCAACGCTACAGTCAAGATCAAAGTGGTTCTTCGAAACACAAGAACCAAAAGTAGGAGAACTCGTACTGAGTATAGAAGATGGCGTTAGTAAGCATCAATGGCCATTGKCAAGAATTGTACGCGTCATCAGAAGTGACGATCAGCGAATTCGAACCGTGGTACTAAAGATGAAGAATGGAGAGTACACGCGACCTCTTGTAAAAATTTGCAGACTAGAAGACTAACTTTCAAGGAACAATTCTTTAGATTCTTCAAAGAACCCAAAGAAGAGGAGGAGTATGTTCATAGATTTTCACGAACACCCAAGAACTTAGTCGAACTTTCGACCATTAAAAACAAATTTAATGACATTATCATTTGTAATTTATATCTATTTGTCTAGATCATTACTAGACTCCTTTTTTCTTACCTTTTACAAGCATAAAACTTTAAGAAACACATCTTTACATCGGAATTTATGAAGTATTGTAAACTCGTGAAACTTGTCCGCCATATTTATTAGTGTGCTCGATATTTTAGTACAGCGGACTTCAGTCCCGAAAGTTGCTAGGCAACTAATGTTCCGCGCGCATTTCCGCGCGCATTTCGCGTATATTTTTCCGTTTTATTCAGTTTCATCTCACGTATATTGTTTTTCTCAACGTTGCTGCTAAAGATCAAAGGACAATGGTGGGAAGCCACAATTAGGTAAATTTACCTGTTAAAACTATTCTTTATTGTAATTTTTCTATACTTAAACATTTATTAGCTGATGGTTTCGTACATTATGTAATTTCTCATCTATTTTTCAATTCTTCACTTTAGTTGAAGCGTATTTTCAATAAACGTTGGAAATTTAGCTGTGACGTGGTTTTTTGATTCCTGCCCCGATATCTACATTTTTTCTTCAACTAATTTACAAGAAATCATGTCATCTGAAAGAAGCAGCCACCCCAAATGTTCACATTTAAGTCACCGTTCAAGTCGTCGTTCAAGTCAACGTTCAAGTCATCGTTCACAACGAGATAAACTTCAAGCTGAACTGGACTACCTGAAAGAAAAGGAGGCTTTAGCAAAACAAGAACGTGAACTCAAAG